TGCCTTTGCAGGTAAACATCTTCCTGGTAGTTTCTGCTTTCAGTCAGGATCCATCTGGCATCATCAGTGATATCCCTTGTTCCACGTCCTCTTCTGAATCCTGCTAGAATTTCTGGCTGTTCCCTGTTGATGTACTGCTGCAATCATTTTTGAATTATCTTCAGCAAAATTTTACTTGCATGGGATATTAGTGATATTGTTCAATAATTTCCACCTTCTATTGGATCACCTTTCTTTGGAATGGGCACAAATGTGGATCTCTTCCAGTCAGTTGTCCAGGTAGCTGTCTTCCAAATTCGTGGCATAGATAACTGAGCACCTCCAGTGCCGCATCTGTTTGTTGAAACATCTCAGTTGGTATTCCGTCAATTCCTGGAACCTTGTTTTTCACCAATGCCTTCAGTGCAGCTTGGACTTCTTCCTTCAATATCGTTGATTATATACCGCCTCCTGAAATGGTTGAGCGTTGACCAGTTCTTTTTGGTACGGTGACTCTGTGTATACCTTCCATCTTCTTTTGTTGCTTTCAGTGTTGTTCGGTATTTAGCCCATGGAGCCCTTCAGTATTGCAACTCGAGAGTTGAATTTTTTCTTCATTTCTTTCAGCTTGAACACGTTCTTCCCTTTTGGTTTTCTAACTCCAGGTCTTTATACATTTCGTTATGATACTTTACTTTGTCTTCTTGAGCCACCCTTTGAAATCTTTTGTTCAGCTCTTTTACTTCATCATTTCTTCCATTTGCTCTAGGTACTCTGTGTTCAAGAGCAAGTGTCAGAGTCTCTTCTGACATCCATTTTGTTCTTTTCTTTCTTGCCTGTCTTTTTAATGTCGTTTTACTTGTTTCATGTATGATGTACTTGATGTCATTCCACAGCTTGTCTGGTCTTCCATCATTAGTGGGTCCCTGGCCTTGTTCTGACGGATGATATTGAGCTTCTCCATTGTCTCTTTCCACAGATGTAGCCAATTTGATTCTTGTGTATTTCATCTGGTGAGTCTACATGTATAGTTGCCATTTATGTTGTTGAAAAGTATTTGCAATGAAGAAGTCGTTGGTCTTGCAAAATTCTATCATGCGATCTCCAACATTGTTTCTATCACCAAGGCCATATTTTTCAACTACTGATCCTTCTTTGTTTGCAAGTTTTGCATTCCAGTCACCAGTAGTTATCATGATATGCATCTTGAGTGCGTGTTTGATCAATTTCAGGCTGCAGAAATTGGTAGAAGTCTTCAATTCTTCATCTTTGGCATTAGTGGTTGGTGCATAGATTTGAATAATAGTGCTATTAACTGGTCTTCCTTGTAGGTGTATGGATATTACCCTATCTCTGACAACGTTGTACTTCAGGATAGATCTTGAAATGTTCTTTTTGACAGTGTATGTGATGCATTGCTCTTCAATTTGTCATTCCTGGCATAGTATACCATATACTTGTCCAATTCAAAATGGCCAATACCAGTCCATTTCAGCGCACTAATGTCTAGGATATCTTCAAGCATTCCATTTCATTTTTGACAACTTCCAGTTTTCCTAGATTCATACTTCGTACATTTCACATTCCAATTATTAATGGATGTTTCCAGATGTTTTTTCTTATTTTGAGTCATGCCACATCAGCAAATGAAGGTCGCAGAAGCTTTAGTCCATACACGTGATTAAGGCTGACTCTACTCTGAGGATGCAGCTCTTTCCCAGTTTATTTTGAGTGCCTTCCAACCTGAGGGGCTCATCTTCCCGCACTACACCACAGAGAGTTCCGCTGCTTTTCATAAGGTTTTTACTGGACAATTTTTTTAGAAGTTACTCGCCAGGTCCTTCTTCCTAGTCTGTTTTAGTCTGGAAGCTCCGCTGAAACCTACTGGTATTTGAAATTCTGGTGGCATAGCTTCCAGCATCACAGCAACATGCAAGCCACCACAATAGAACAAACTGACGGAGGAGTGGTAGAAATTAACAGTAATTCCTTAATATTATCTAATATTCAGTTCATATTGAAATTTTCCAATTGTTTCCAAAATGTCTCTTATAGATGAGTCAAATTAAGGACCATGCATTGTATTTACATGTTATTATTCTTAGTTCTTTTTTTTTTTTTTTTTTAACCTAGAATAGTTCCTATTTCCCGTTCTGTCCCCCTCTCCAACCTCTTTTTTTTTTTTTCATGGCATTGACTTGTTGAAACTGGAGCAGTTGTCTTATTGAATGTCCCACATTCTGAATTCATCTGATTGCTTTTGTTGTGGTATTTAACTTGTTGCTTTATTCCCTGTATTTCCCTAAAACGGAAGGTAGAGCTAAAGGCTTGATTAAACTCTAGTTTAAATTTTTCACAAGAATACTTCATATTGCACCATATAAGGTGCATAAATGTTTGATTCACCCACTATTATTGGTAAATTTGACCACAGTGTTAAGGTGGTAACTGTCAGATTGCTTCACTGTAAAGTTACATTTTTTTTCTTTTGTGACTAGCAAATGTTTTTTATTTTTATCAATGTTGAGCATTTTTTCAAGTAATGATAAATGCAGCTTCTCTTGTTTGACTAATTTTTCATAGCATTCGACCATTTGTTCAGTGTATTTGGTATTTTCTTTCTAAGTTTGTACTGTGCATTTAAAATTGTTACTTAGTGTCATAAATAATGATGCATTGTTATAAAAGGTAGATTTTAAGCTTGAGAATATAACTAATGTCAAATACAATTTAACAAAATAATACAGATTACAATAATATAATATGTGGCATTTCTTTGACAGGCTTTTATAATAAGTCTGAGTTTGTTCTTTTAAAAAACCACTCTAAGCAGACAAACCTAAAAAAGACAAAGCTCCTAAATAAAAAACTACTATTCCTTTATTTTTTGTGAAGTGGAAGTGAATCTTAAATTCATAAAAGCTGCTTTATATACCCACCCAAAAAGCACCCAGAATTTGTTTTTATTTGTCTCTTAGTGTTTCATTTGGTTGTCTTTTATGCACCAGTTCTTTATCACGTTTAAATAGGCCTATTTTTTCCTGTCGTATCTATTATAGGTTTTTTTCTTATTCCATTTTTTCTGTTATAAATTATACATAGTAAGATTTTCCTTTGAAACCACAAAAGCAGTATACGCTTATTGCAACAAGCTGAGCAATATCTGAGTTGTATAAAGAAAAAGCCAACCATCTCCTCCTCTCCAGTTTCTATCCTCCAAGCTAACCAAGTATAATAGCCTAGTGTATAATCTTCCACATCTTTCTCTGTGCTCTTAGAAACACAAATATACACATTGATTCATTTTCTTTCTTATTTTATAAGATTATGAAGATGCCATACCTATTATTTTACAACTTGTTTTTTTTTTTACTTTATAGTATATTATACATGTCCTTCTAAATCATTAAACCAATATTTAATTCATTTCAGTTCTACTTGCCGCATAATATTCTATTTATGTAGGTTTCTCTCAGTGGTCATTCAGGTTGTGATTTTTCCCTCCATCCTTGTGCATAATCTTTAAGAAATGGAGTTTTCACTTCTGTAGGATACATTCCTACAGAAGGTTAAGTGGTAAGTTTATTTCAATTTTATTATGAACGCCAGGTTATTTTCCACAAAGGTTGTTACAGTTATTGTTCATGCTGGCACTGGATAACATATAGCTTTATAAGTTTTGCCAATTGGCTGAGTGAAAAGTGTTTTCTTGCTTTAATTTTCACTTATCTGACCATTGATAAATTGAGCAGAGTCATTGGCCATTTTGTATTCTCTGTTCTGCAAACCACCTTTCAGTCCTTTACTTATTTTTCTTTTGAGGTGTTACCATTTTACTTTTTAATCAATTTTCAGGAGATTTTGTGTATTTGGGGTATTAACCCCCCTTTTTTGTCACATGGTACAAATATATTATCCCAGCTGACATTTGGCTTTTGACTTTGTGGTTTATTTTGACACATAGACATTCTTATCTGACCATGTCTGTCAGTCTTTTTCTTTATGGCTTCTGGATTCATGTTTTACTCCTCACTACCCAGTGAAGTTAATAATTCTTTAAGCTTTTATTTCTGTATTTCTTACTATTATTATTTAATAATTTTTAAAATTAATTTTGTTTTTCTCTGTGAAGTTTGGGCAGAGATTTGTTTGTTTTTTTAATATAAATGAACCTGTCTTTCTTGTCACTGAATTTCCTCTACTGATCAGAAAATTATCTCTTCTTCATTGTTTGGGAGTAAGCACAGTATTAAATTTTCTAGTTTTTAAATGACCTCCTTTTAACTTTTAAGAATTATTTTTTAATTGTTCCAAGTCATTTTTAATGGTGTTCTTGTGTTTGAGGATATTAGTGTATTCACCTAATACAGTTCTGTCTGCAGGTTTGCTAAGCATAGTCATTGTATTCATCTGGGTCATCAATAATGATATTTAATAGATGAAATGAGCAGAAGGACCTGAAAGCTGATCTTTAGTGTGTGATTTAAAAAGTGACAATTACAATAGCATAAAGCAAAATAAATAAATAAAGCCTGACAACACTGTCATTATGAATGTATTAAGACAATGGAGAAAGAAACACTGGCAGATTCTTAGAGTGGTGGCCTGAAGACTTCTCTGACTGAGAGCACAGATCCCGTGATTTAACTCATGTTAGAGAGAAACATAACAGAGGAACAGAGTCATTGTTCTTTAAAGTTGTCTTTCTTCACTGTCTTATGGCAAGACAACCTTCATTACCATCATGTAACATACTTTTCTAGTGCTTTTATTTATTTTATTTATTTTGTTGAGAATATACACAGCAAAACATACACCAATTCAACAGTTTCTACATGTACAATTCAGTGACATTGATTATATTCTTCAAATTGTGCAACCATTCTCACACTCCTTTTCTGAGTTGTTCCTCCCCCATTAACATAAACTCACTGCCCTGAGGTTCCTATCTAATCTTTGGAGTTACTGTTGTCAGTCTGATCCCATATAGATAGATCTTAAAAGAGCATAATGCTCAAGGCAGACATTTTTTATTAGTGGAGCTAAACTATTATTTGGTTTTAAGAAGACTTCAGGGGAAATGGGTTTAAAGTTTGAAGGTTATGTCAGGGCAGTAGTTTCAGGGGTTCATCTAGCCTCCATGGCTCCACAGAAGTCTGGAGTGTGTGAGAATTTGAAATTCTATTCTGCATTTCTGGTGCTTTTAAAATGAAGTCCTTCATTTGTAAAGAAATGTCATAGATGAAATGGAAGACTTCATTACTACTAAGGGACTTGGGCAGATTGTTCACTTGGGCTTTAAGTTTCCTGTCTGTTCCATGAAGATGTTGGACCATATGATTGCCAAGAGCCCTCTAATTCTTACTCTGCTCAGATTCTCTTCAAGTTAATTTTAGGGAATTTTTTATTAGTACTGGATTGTTGAATTTTGTCAAAAATCTTTAGGAGCAGAAAAGTACCTAGCAGAGTGTCTGGCACATAGAATGCACTTGGTAAAAGGGTAGTTGAACAAATGCATCCATGGAAAGTATTCAAATTACAGTAAATTAGAAATTATGAGGAATTTTTCTCAATGTCATTTGTATATTTGGAGCCTGGATTTAAAGACTGGTACTCCAAACCCGTGCTGTTTTTTGACTGCAGATTTAGTATAATTGAAAGAGCAGAGTGGTGTTCATAATTAGGACATGCTGTATAAAAGTTTTTCTCTAAATTTTACTTTATTCTCATACTGTGGTATCTAACAAGAGGGGAAAAATCTTACTCAGCCCGACTTGTTCCATTAGATTACAATGTGCTTGATTGAATTATTGAGTTGCTTTAGAAATTGCAATTTATCATAATTGACTAATTTATCTTTTGTTACTTATACTAAGATGTCAGGATTAAAGTTTAAAAGTTAATGTTAATATTTTTTAACCTCTTACATTATCTTTTATCTCTACCAAGAGCAAACCTGGGTTGTCCCACTATTGAAATGCCAATGTTGTTGGCAGGCATTTTGTTGATCCTTTCAGGGCACTGTAAGTTTCTCTGATTTGTCTGGAGGTTTGCATATTTTCCTTTGGGAACAGAAAGCCTATAGTAGTTTTATAAGGATCTCAGAAAAGGATGCAGGGAGGATGAGATTGCATCTTATGCTAGTTGTGCCATGGCAAATCATCTTTGTACAGTTCACATTTAACTATATTCAGACTCTTTTAAAATGCTTTATAGACTATCCTGAAACATTTAGGGCTACGTGATTAAAAGAACAACTTAATTTTTTAAGTATTAGAAGGTAATATCCAGACTTAGCCATTCAAGAAAAATGTTATTTTAGTTACCTATCCTACAAATTTTTTGATTTTTATATAGGGACTTTAAGAGCAGGAAAGTGCCTAGCAGTGTGCCTGGCACATAGAATGCACTTGGTAAAGGGTGGTTGAACAAATTCATCCATTGAAATATTCAATTTACAGTAGATAAAGAAATTATGAGGAACTTCTGTGTACATATTTTCCGTTATCTAAAAAATAACTCATGCTTCTGTAAGCCTGAAATTATTTCAAAATATAAAGTTAAGAAAACTTATATGAAAGAGTTTCATGGGAGTGATAGTGAAGTATCAAAGATATTAGTAATCATCTTTGAGAGGGAGAGGTTTTATATCTAGACAACAAATCTAGGAGGTTTGCATTTGGCACAGTCTGAAGAATATGCTTGTGTTTATGAGGCAAGTACCAGAGAAATTGTGATTCTTATTTTATAAAGTAACCTGAAACACTTGAATAGGAATATTCATTTGTTTAAATGAAAATATATACAAGAATAATTATTTGTTGATAGTCCTTGAGTTTTCTTAAACCTAGAAGGAACCTGAGATTCTATTTAGCTCTAATGATTCATCCTCTCATCTTATAATTTAGGAGTCTGAAGCCCAGAGAGATTGTGTCTTGCCCAGAATCATACAACAACTTTATGGGAAGGTTAAGACTAGAACTCAGGGCACACCTACCCTGCCATGCTCAGCCTAGCCCTCTTTCCGTTCTGTCATTCTGTGTTTTGTTATCATAAACAATGCCAGCCTGTTCTGAAGATGAACCCAGTTGATTTTACTACTAATCAGTTGACGTGTGTCTGTACTGAGAGCATTATAAAATATGAATACCAAGGGTAGGAAGTTATTACATCAGCACTGGTCTTCATTTTATTCCCTAATGTGGTTGGTGCAGCAGCTGTGCTAGTACACAGTTGTGAACCCAGCACATCTGTGTTTTCCATTTATTTGTTTGCTTATGTGTATTTTGCAGTTGTTATTTTATAATAAAATTTTTTCAGAGTATAAGTAGGAGAGTGAATTTTTAATTAAATAAAAAAGTATATTATAAGCATATTTACAGTTTTATGTCAGAAAGAGTAGGCAAGTGACAAGAAGGACTAAGTCTGTAGCTACCTACATATATGACCTTGGGCAATATGACCTAGGACAAATCATGTAACCTTCATGGGACTCTGTTTTTCTATCTACTTAATTGGAGTCTTTCATGGGGTTCTGCCCAAGACACTTACATCTGTTGTTTTATTTTGTTAATTGAAGTATAACATACACAAAGAAGAGTGCATAAGTCTTCTTATAAAATGGACACTCATGTAACCACTACTTAGAGATTTTGAAAAATCTTCCTTGGTAATTATGCTGTGCTTTCCTTGTTAAGAAACACTGGACTAGAACAGTTCATCTCATGTTTTTACAACTTTTTCTGGAGTAAAATTAGCAGAAGTAATGGTTGAAAGAAGGAATTTGGACAGTCACTTAAATTTTACTTTGAATAGGTTTATTTGGTTTGTATTTAGTCTTTTCTTCTGATGTGTCTCTTCTTCCTCTTTGCTCTTTTTCCTTTGTCTAGGTCCTGGGAGAAATGGAGAGGGGTCCTAATGAACCCCTCACTATGTTTTCTGAAAGTGGTCAGAGAGTTCTTAAACAGGTCTGTTGATTTTATAGAATACAAATGCAAGTTTGATGTATAAGAGATTTGATTTCAGCTTAACAAAGAGTTGATTTAAATTTATTTTACTTTTTAAAAAAGCAGGCATTTTGATCTCAATGTCCTTAGGGTATTTTATGTTGGGAAGCTGCATTTGGCATGTGGACTAGACACAAACTGACTGAACTAAATAAGATCTGCTTAACAGAAAAGCAGTTTTGATTCAGAGAGGGGCAAATGTGTATATGTGTGCGTGTGTGTGTTATTTCTTTCTTTTTTTTTTTTAAACCATTTAACTACCCGTCTCTATGTCATCATGAATGAACTTTATTATTACTCAGACTGACAAAAACTCTAGCTCAGTGGTTCTCAAACTTGTCCTGCTGTTGCAATCATCTGTGGAGCTTTGAAAAGTACTAATGCCTTTGCCTGGACTTTGCAATTTTTAAAAGATTCCCTAGGTGATTCTAGGAGTCCTGGTGGCGCAGTGATTAAAGCACTTCGCTGCTAACCAAAAGATCAGCGGTTCGAACCTACCAGCTGCTCCGCGGGATAAAGATGTGCAGTCTGCTTCCATAAAAATTTACAGCCTTGGAAACCCTGTGGGGTGGCTAGGAGTCAGAATCAACTTGACAGCAGTGGGTTTGGTTTTGGGGTTCAGTTTAGGAGATTCTAATATGCGGACAAGTTTGGGAAACACTGCTCTAGCTAGTTAAAGCAGGACTGGTCACTATACAACTTGTTTCTTTTCTTTTTTTTTGATAGATATTTTGAATGAATTGATAAATATATAAATAAAACCAACCCCCCCCAAAAAAAAAGACAGTTACCATCAAGTCCCTTTGACTCATGGTGACACCATGTGTTGCAGAGGAGACCTGTTCCCCATAGAGTTTTCAAGGCTGTGACCTTTCCGAAGTACATCCCCAGGCCTTTCTTCCAAGGTACGACTGGGTGGGTTAGAACTGCCAACCTTCTGGTTAGTAATTGAGCATTTAAACATTTGTGCCACTCAGGGACTCCTAAATATATAAGGGGATAAGTATTTTATTTAAAAATCCTGCTTTTTAAACTTGTGTACATTTTTACTAGAATGTAAGCTCTATAAAATCGGGTATCATATTGTGTTTTCTTCACCATTGTATCTTTATCCCTTAGAATAATACTGGCATATATTGCGTCCTTAAATATTTATTGAATGAGTGAATGAACCTATCAGCCTCTAGTGAGTTGAGAGTATGCTTTTACCTAATAGAGTAAAATCTGCGAAAGGCAGAACCTGTGTAAGGCAGAAACCTATCAGAGAAGGAGAACTCAAATATTTTCCACTAAAACGAGCCCTAGAAAAGTGGTGAGACTCACCCTGTCAAAGGCGGAAAACTCAACGAGACCCAGGAAAACAAGGCAGTCCTGTCGAGTTCTGGTTTCACTGTACTCAAATAGTTTGAGAGTGGTGTGATAGTGAAAAGCCCAGACTCTAGAAGCTAATTGGCCTGAGCTTGAATCATGGCTCTGCCATGAAAGCTGTATGATCTTGAGCAAGTTACTTAACTTCTCTGTGCCTCAGTTTCCTCATTGGTAAAATGGGAGTAATAGAACCTATTTTATATGGTTGTTGGGGGAACTAATTGGGTTAATAACACAAATTGCTGAGAACAGTTGACTGGATAATGTGCCTGGCACATAAGAGTGCTTTGTAAGTTGCTGTTGTCTATTGCAATTGAATCAATTTAGGATCATGGCGACCCCATGTATTACAGAGTAGAACTGCTCCATAGGGTTTTCTTGGCTGAAATCTTTATGGAAGCAGACCACTAGGCAGGTTCAAACCACCAACCTTTAGGTCAGTAGTCGAGTACAAACCATTTGCGCCACCCAGGGACATGGAAAGGATGTTAGCCTCCCTCAGTTTCTTCTAACTGACAGCATGGAGGCTAAGAAAGGTTTAAGAGATTCCAAGGTCACAGATGTGGTAAAAACAAGATGGAACCCAGGGTGGTATAGTTCACTTTTTATTCTATTTGCAGGTAGTTCCTGACTTAGGATGTATTTGAGTTACAATGAACCACACTTACGACTGTCCTTTTTTCTTTTTGTACATCTTATTGTTTGTAATACATGTTACATGCAATATTGCAGTGCATAATTTGCTATTATCATTCTCATGCCAACTGCCAAAGACACAGATCAGATTTATAAAAACTGATAATAAAAGGGAATAATAATGAAAACTAAAAAAAGAGGTATTTGACTTATGTCAGAATCAACTTACGATGGAGTTGTCGGAACGGAACTCCATCATAAGTTGGGGACTACCTGTAGTTATGTTTTGTTTCTGCCACTAAATCTGTCAATTTGTCATACTCTTATGGCTTGTGTGTTGCTATGATACTGGAAGCTATGCCACTGGTATTTCAAATACCAGCAGGGTCACCCACGTAGACAGGTTTAAGCAGAACTTCCAGACTAAGACTAGGAAGAAAGGCCTGGTTATCTATGTCCAAAAATTAGCCAATGAGAACCCTAAGAATCACAACAGAGTATTGTTCGATATAGTGCTGGAAAATTAGCTCCTAGGTTGGAAGGCACTCAAAATATATAGTGGCCACAACAATGAACTTGAGCCTACCAATGATTGTGAAGATGACGCAGGACTGGGCAACATTTTGTTGCATTGTACATGGGGTTGCCGTGAGTCAGAACCGACTCAATGACAACTAACAACAACGTTTTGTTTGATTTTTTCATAAGTAATATGGTCTTATGTTACATACGTTAAAAACAAAAAATTTAAAGAAACAGCAAAAGAAAAAGCTTGTGTTCCTCCTTCATTGCTTTTTTGGCGCAAATTCTTTAGCCACATTTCCTCACCTGCTTCAGTTATCTCATCTGAAGGTAAATTAAATAACATAAAAAGTGTGCTTCTGAACCTTAGAGCATTTAGACCGCTAAACCTAAACCTTTGGGCATTTAAATACCCAAAGCTCAAGCCTCAGTGCGGACCTGGTGGGACCCAGGCATTATTATTTTTTAAAGTTTACCAAATAATTATAATTTGTAGTCAAGGTTGAGAACCACTGAAGTTCTTTCAAAGTACGTACTCATTTGATCTCAGATATTCTGACGTTAGTGATTTAATAGTAGCTAGGGTGGTTCTAATTAGTGAGCATTGGCCTGAAATAGGCTGGATCAGCTTGATTCTGATATTTCTGCTAATGGTGCACTGTGTGTGAGTGAGGTACAGTTACCGTTGTGAGGATAGTTTGGTATCTGGGGGAGGAAGCACTGAACTTGGGGTTGAAAGACCAGGATCTAGCCTTGATCCTGCTGTAATCTTAGTCCGTAACCTCGGTTAAGTCATACAACCACTGTCTAGGTTTTACTTTTCCCTGTCTGTGAAAAACTGGGGGAGTTGGACTAATTATTCTGTAAATTCTCTTTCAGCTCTAAAACTTCAAATTTGTGAGCCAGTAGGGGAGGGAGAGAGGTAGCTGGTCGACTTTGTGTGCCTGAAGAATAGGTGAGCGTGAGAGGCCAACTGTGCAGGCCTGGGGTGGAAGGGGACAAGTGTGGAAGACTTGCCTAAGGGAATACTGAATAGGAGGTCGTAGCAATAGCTTAGCACGTGGTAATGATGTTGTTGAGGTTCTGATCTTACTGTTAAATGACTCACAAGGTAAATGTAGTCAGGGGAGCCCCCCAAAATAAGGCAATAGAAAACAGAGGATATTTTTGTTGTTACATGTATGAGGTAGGTTAAGAGTAGGAATATTATAATTGCTGCTAAGGTCTAAGAGGGTGGTAGATAGCTGGCTTTTGTTTTCAAGCACCATTTGTTAAAGAGTCTGTCTTTTCCCAAATCAACGGTCTTTGGGCCTTTGTCAAATATCAGCTGCTCGTAGGTGGATGAATTTATGTCTGGATTCTCAATTCTGTTCCATTGGTCTGTGTGTCTGTTGTTGTACCAGTACCAGGCTGTTTTGACTACCGTGGCAGTACAATAGGTTCTAAAATCAGGTAGTGTGAGGCCTCCCACT